AACCCCTTTTGGACAGAAGCCGCCGGAGTTTATATGAGAGACCGACAGAAGTTCAACAAAACGGCCAAACAGTGGACACAGAAATACGCGAAACCACCCGTCCCTTAAAAAGGCTGATACAAAGTCTAAGAACACAGGTGGAAGCGGCACCGGTAGTAAATAGTATGCTATTGATTGGAAGATATTGAGTTTAAATTGATGTTTGGGAATAAAATTTGTTTACTTTAAATACAGAATTTCATATATTGTATGCAAATATTTATCACATGTTGGCTGGACTTCCGTATGTTTCCCGGATCGGAACAAAATGGTTGGTATATATGTGAAGCTTAGGTCATAAGGAACAAAAAAGGTGGTGTTCATTTTTATCGGAAACCAACGGTTACCGAGATAATCGGGTCAGAAGTTCGCATTGAAAATGCATAGAATTTCTATTTGAAACGGTTCAGTTGGTTAGGTTAGGTTGCTTAATACGGAGCGGAGCGACCCTATATGTGAATTTTAGTGTTATTAGGTTGGTTTGGTTAGGTTAGGTTAGTTGGTTAGGGTAGGTTTGGTTATTTGGTTAGGTTAGATTGGTTGGGTAAATTCTGATAGTTGGTCAGCTTAAAATCTCAAAATGATTTAATAATTATTATATGAATTAACATAAATTTAAATAATAAGTGATCCAAAAGTCTTCGCAATCGTCAACAAATGGATTATCCAATACTCGACTCGTATTCATTGGATTCAAGTCTTTAACATTAATCAAATTATTATCCAATATATGCGTCCACTGGTCATCAAGTTTACTATAGTTAGCAAAATATTAATTATTAAGGAAATAGCGAAATATTATATGGGATTATCTAGCTAGTTCTAATGATGGAATCACTTTGATTTAGTGAGCCAGGGTGAGTTATCATTGTAGAATTTAATAAATAATTTTAATAATCTAGGTAAAAATATGTTAAGTTGATAAATATATGAACCCATATTTAACGAAATCAGTCCACAGTTTCACGACATATAAACTGAAATCCACGTCCAGTTGGGTATGAGTTATGGGATACAGTTTGTCGACCCATAGGGGAAGTCAAAACACAAACTCCAGTTCCGATCCGTGACAGACACCCATCATGTGCTCATCACAACCCATGAATTTAGCGAATTTTGACTCATATGTGAGTTCATAGAAATAAACCCTATTTTTTGAACCACTTTTGATGGCATAATTGGCGTATTGTTTGGCCGTTAGATATGTCGGACATTTGATGTGAATATCGCCGTAAAACTCGTAAAACGCTTTCCTTAACACATCCGACGAGTGATTTTTGTGGTCATCTTTGAGATAGAATTGTCTAATACTTTGAAACTTCAATCCATGGTATGACTCGTTTGTTATGATAACCATATCATCAAAGTCTTTATCAGTGATAATACGGTGCAGTTGCGGAAAAGATACATAAGCTAGTTTTGATCCCTCATTCCTCATGACACCCGCCATTAGGTCTAAGTCTATGACAATGAATACAAATATTTAAATATTATTTTATTTTATTAAAATTAATATTATTATTATTATTATCTTTGTATATCACGGTTAGTCCGGTGTGATCTCAGATATGTCGGCCACTTTTGGTGGCAGAGACACGTCTGGTTA